CTTTGAAACAATGTAATTTTCCTGGCCTCAATTTCTGCATCTATAAAATGGCAGAAAACAGAAATGAAGAGACAATTAACTTTATAAGTAAATGAACATTCAATGAGTATATAAGATGGGAATAAAATTAAGCAGTTTCCAACATAAAACATCCCTTCTCTTGAGGACAGTTCGCCTCCTTCAACAGTTACAAGGTTGCACTAGGCTATGGTGGGAATGGGCACAGAATCCAATGTTTGAGATAAAACCTACTGTCCAGGACCAAAACTTTCAAAGACTACACAGCCTATAAACAACCAAAGATATAGCATAACTGAGGTAATACTACATACAATAAAATGGTCCATAGATTAATGAAGTTTGTAATGGGTTAAAAAAATGACAGGAAACACTTAGACTGATCCTCCATGATTTACTTTGTCCCTCTTACAGAATTAACCCCCACCCAACAATACCTTTAAAAATTCTTAAAGCAAATGTTTTTCCTTTAACTCTTCATCCTATTGAAAATATAAAACAAATACCTCCCCCTCTTAGGTACCTTCCATGGACAAAGACCTATAGCATATTAAAATGCATATTCTAAATGTGCCATAGAAACAACTGCATTTCAAAATGACAAGATTGAAGTGTTCAATTAGGAATGGAAAGCCCACTGCTTCTCTCCTGAAGATCAGAAAAGCATCATTTCTGTGGCCTATTCTCTCCAGGAAGTTTCTCTGAGACTTGCCCAGAAAAGTTTGGACCTGCTGTTGCCTCAGGTCCTGCTGCTACAGTTGGATACTGAGGGGCAGAGGCAGGGAGGGGTGGCAGGCAGTAGGCTTATTCATAGATAAAGACTGTGTTAATAAGAAGTCATCGTGTTCAAGGGTCCTTTGGAAATTCTTCATGAATATGACCCCTCCCTACTTTTGCTTATAGGCTTGAGTTAATCATTCTAAATTTATTAAAAATGAACACTGGCTTGTTCAAGGAAAAAAAAAACAAATAGAAAGATTAAAATCTGAACCTCCAGTTTTGGGTCATCTGTCAGTTCCAGTAGAATGAAAATTGTTACAGTATTTAGCATTGCTGATTCCTGACTTTTGTTAAATCTACAGGTAACATTCAGAGACAGTTTGCTACAGATTATTTATCAGTTTTACCTCTATCACTTAGGTTTTATCTTATTCACAATGGTTTTAAAAAATATTTCATGTTTACATTTGAGAACTATTTACCTTTGAAGTGTGTATTTAACTGTTTTATGTGTGTATTTGTATATATGTATATATCTATGTATATAGGCATATGCTCTAAAATAATAAATCATTTAATTTTTAGATAAAAGACATTATATTTCTAAATGAATTTTATCATGATTTAAAAAAATGTGATAATCGCAATGGTTTTTTTGAAAATTAATAATGAAACATATTATTTGATGTTTTCAAACTCCCCAAACTTTCGCTAATCAACTTGGTATATCTCTAAAGCAAATTCTAAGTGATTTGTGAATCACTGTGAAGTAAGAAAAATACTAATTCTGTTTTGTTTTCAGATATTATTTGTCTGACCTATGTGTCAGATCTACATGTAAAGCAACACTGTTCTACTTAAATTACTTGGTTAGCTATCATTTATTGTGAAATACTTAATATATTAGTTTTTCTGAGCCCTCTCAAAATATCACTTTTATTAAGTACCTGTTTCCTCATTTCAAGTCAGAGTTATCAATCTCTTCCATGTGCTATTTCAGCATAACACATTTTTTTTTTTAGTAACTCAATGGCACCTATCCCTCTAAAGTCATTATAATTTCCCAGTAATTTACCCATTAAATTAACTATTTGAATTA